TCTGTCATAATAAATAATTAGGCTGAGGGAAATAAGACAAATTACCATTAGTACCATTCACCTTTTTTTTTTTTATCTTTTGATTTGCCACTTAATTTTTATTTTTTTATTTTTTTTTACTAATTTGCAACTTTTAGTGCATCGTGACCGCAAAATTGTCACGTGTATAGTCAAGAAGCACCCACCGGGGAGATGCAAATTTGGATATTTTGTTCGAAAAATACACACGTATATAGTCAAGATACACTAGGAAGGCTGTAAATTTGGATATTTTGTGAATTTCAAGTTGTATTTTATTTGTTTATTTAAAAAAAAATACATTCGTTTGCAAATATGAAAAACGCATATTATACAAATTGTAATTTTTCTCTCTTTTTTTCCCCTTATGCTAAGTGAAGCTCAAGAATGAAATGCCCAAAATTCTCAAATTTCATCCTCAATTTATGGAAATTAAAAGGCTTCCCATCTATTTTTGCTTCTTTTCATGCCCAAAAAAAAAAAAAAAAGAATGATCTTAACATTGCAATTGCATAAAGCCAATACAAAGTTGACAAAAAGGCTCTATGAGAAAAAAGTGGCATAGTCAAAGACAATTTTTAGTCACTATTTCAAAATTTCTAGTCCCACCCCCTTTTATGTGTGCATGGATAAACATGAGGCAATGAGTATTTTTCCAAAGTTTTTTTTTTTTTTTTTAGCATATAACAAAACAAAAGTTGTGCCCACAAACATCTTAAAAGAAGGTCCATCAACATCAATTATATATTTTTAGATAAAAATATATAGTTATGTGATAACATGTTACAATTTTATTTTAATTGGTTAAATGTGACATTTTAACATGACATTTACATATTTATTTACGAAATATTAGTGCATATCCTGTGTATGCACGGTGAATCATTATTTAAATTAGTTTTAAGATGTTAAGTTAAGTTAATTATCCGCATAAGAACTACACATTTAAAATATTTAATTCTCAGCACAATTAAAATGAAGTGTTTTATGGTTTTCTTAAATGTGAAATTATTTACATATTTTTTTTTTTAAAAAAAATATATATCAAGTAACAATCGAGCTCATAGAGAAGAAAGATTGAAAGATTGCATTAAGAGAGAAAAAGGGATCTTAGTTTTGTACAGAGAAGAGAGAAGGCGGAGAGAATGAAAAGTGTGTAAAAACTAACTAGGGTTTACAATGGAATGAGTATTTATACTAATGCTAAATAACTAAAGGTGCTAAAGAGGGAGTAGCACTTTTATTATAGAATAACACAACTAATACAAAAGATATTTAAAGGTAAACATATATAATTCTATTACCCCCCGCAAGTGGAGCATGGATGTTGGGCATGCTCAACTTGGAGGT